GCCGGCGTCGGGCGCACCGACTCACTGCGTGTAATGACCTAGACAAGAAAAATAATTTTAAATTTTTATAAATGAAAATTTATGTAAATAAAGTATTAAATAAGCGTTTTCTTGCAATACATAAATATATATATATATATATATATCACCAACTTGAGCTGTCCCGTTTATAGCCTCTTGGATATTTGTTGGTCTCTTTTTATAGGAGAGTTAGGGTGGCAGGAAAAGTGTTCAATGCCTGTTAACCCATGAAAACCCATCATTCCTTTATCTCTGACAATTCCACCGTTTCATTCCCAACCTAAATGAACAATTAGGAGAATAGAGGAATAGGAGAGGCAAGGAAGGAAGCTTGAATAGCACCTCAAGTTCATAGTTAATTGAGGTATAACCCAATCCTCATTGATCTGAAATTTCTTGATTTAGAAGAAATAAATTTGTTATAAGAACCTAATAGACTGATGTTTTGATATTTCGATAAAGAATTGTGTAATTGCTTTTGTAAATAAAGGTAATAATAATAAAGAAACATACTAACCCTAGATCCGACGGGAGTCTTGTCGCCGGCCGCTCCTGATCGCCGGTGATTCTCTATCGTCGTCCTACCGCCATGGAGAGAGAGGGAGAGGGAGAGAGAAAGATGCCTCAGATGGTCCAGCCGAGAAAAAAAAGAGGAAGGGTTCATTGACTTGCGCCGAGGCCGGGGGAAGGCTCAACCTCGAAGAGGATCGCTCGGCGGCGGAGCTTGAGCAGCTGGGCGCCAAGTCGTCACGGAGGAGGAAGAGAGAAAGAGGGAGAGAGAGAAACCGAAGGAAAAAAAATGAAATGATGAATGAATGAACAAGGAAGAATGAAATAAAGGAGAGAGAGAAAAGGGAAATTAAAATAAAATAGCATAATTTTTTTGGGACCTCTGAAAGATTTTTAGGTTATATATAGGTCCAAAGATAAAAAGGAGTGAAAATATTCATATTATAGGTCATGAATTAATATTAGCTTTATATCTTCATATTATAGGATCTGGTTAATATCCAGGGGAGTAATATTTTGAGAAAGTTGAGATCACTAGAGATGAGTTCATTTCTCACTAGTATTTTATAATATGAAATTGCATGAGTATTATATTTGATTTATCTTGTAATCATATATCATTTTCATATATATAAAGTTAAAATGTGATTTGATCTACTTCTGTTGTGGCCTAAGCCATAAATACTATGTTGATTTCGTATAAGATATAAAAAATCAATTTGATTTTATATGAACTATGAAAAGTGAATTTGATTCTTATGCGATTTCAAATAATTATGGGAATTGCTTTATTTGAAAGCTTTTGAAAAAAAAAATATTTTGAACGTGTTTCAACAGTTTAATGGATTCAAAGATTTTCTATAACTTAGTATCTGATCAAAAATAAAGAAAAGTAAAATATGTAAACTGTTTTAACTAGGATGAGGAGTTTTACCCTTGTTCACTTCATTTGAAAATATCTGTAAATTCTGATACGCAAGGTGTTACTCATTTGACAAGTGATTCTCGATATTTTCAAACCCTCAAAAAGTTCACTATAGAGTAATTATGTCTGTCATATGGTGAATGCATCTTTATTTGGTCCCTCTGTATTGGCCCTTCTGAAATTTATTTTGGCCCCTCTATATTTGGCCAGTAACATATGGTAGTGTTAGGTGCATTCGATTCTCGAGAATTATCTGTTATGTAATGCGTTTTACGTATTCTCATACTACTGGGCTATAATTCATAATCTTAGTGTGACCTATGAGGTGACTTTCACATTCACGAATAACTCATCAAGAATTAAAATTCTGAGAAAATAATAATCATCTTGTTTTGTAAAAATTAGTAGTTCTTTTTCTTTCTTAACGTTGACCCTCATTTAAAAAGGGTTGATTCTAGAAAATATCACAGTATATTCAGTTGCACATAAGAAAGAAAATATAGATGTTGCATTCTTCTTAAAGATGACAATATTATGATATTTGGATCATATTTTGCTAGTTTTAAATTTCTAGTGCAAAACATATAATTCGTTATTTCTAAGAATTGTTCTTATTATTATTTTGTTAGTTATCTAGGAACTCTAGCGGAAATATTCTCACTAAGCTCTAGCTCACCCTGTTATTTTTTAAAAAAATTCAGATCTGGCATAGTTTCATACTAGCCGAACTTTTGGTTATGGCATTTTGCTGAGAGACGTTATATGAAAAGCCTCCTTTTTTGATGTTACATACAGTTAACGGTGTGCTTTATTTTGTAAAATACTTATAACGTTGAGCTTGTAGGTTGTAAGAACCGATTATATACATATTTATAATTGCTCTGAACTTTTATCATCAGCAGGTTTATATATATCTTGAGATAAACTATGTGATATGAAGTGTCAGGCTTGACTCGTGCATGGGACTTGTCTTGTGCATGGGTCGCTGCTGTCGCGTAACCTGTATTTATGAATTTCCGCTGCAGTTTCGGGGCGTGACACTGCGCCCCAGCCGATGGTGCGCAGTGAGTTGGCTTATGTGAACAGAACCAAGTTTCGGGCCTGGTACCCGTATATTTCATTAAACCCTTATGTTTTAAGGTTTCAAGCTATCTTCCCTCTTTCTGTCCTCTCTCACAGTAGTTGCTCCTCGAACTCTCTCTCACTATTCTACCTCCCTAACCCCAACGTGTCAGCCGCCGACGACGCGAAATTAGGTTAGTTTTTTTTCAGTTTCTCTCTTTTTTCGTTTTTTTCTTTTTTTCTTTTTAAAAATAATTAATATGATTACATATTTACATCATGTAATAGACTGTTTCTTTTTTCTTATTATACTCTTTTTGAGGATGAGGAAATTTCACTTTAGTTGGATGGCGATGATGATGAGGATGACTAGACGCTCTGTTATTTTGCTACTTGCTTATTTTATTTCGTAGACTTTTGCTCATGTTGGCTATTATCTTACATTGTGATTTGTGAAAACTTACGAACTTCTCTATGTTATGCATGCTAATTAAGACTCTTTCGTGATTTAGTAGGTGAAATTATATTTCTTAGTCTTTTTATGTGATAATTTATAAACATGTTGCTTATATGTTTCTTTATCTTATGTTAAAAAATATTAGTTTGAGTTGTGCGCCTCAATTCAGTAAGGCGCGCGCATCGTTGTGCGCCTTGTGCATGGTACGCGTAAGCGACCTTTGCCCCCCGCATTGCGCATTGGGCCTCGATAACACTGATCTTGAGTCCTTGACATTTTCTATGTGAAATTTCACAAATATATTTTTTTCATGCATCTTGTATATCTTCAAAAATTTTGTGGTCTAGAGTGCGCCTCGCTTCGCTCAGGCGCGCGCATCGCATTGCGCATTGCGCATGTGCATGTAAACTAACTTTACGCCCCGCATTGCGCCCCGCGCATTGAAAACACTAGTGGGAAATGTGGATCACTCAATCATCACAATAAGATAGCTTACAATAATACAATCATTGAAATATTCGTTTTCTCTAACCATTGCACAAATTCTAAGATATGCTTTGAACTAGTTTGAGTCCTATGGGAAATTTTGACAATTTGCATTGGCTTGAAAAGTGAAACCACTAAGATAGATTTTTCTTTGTTTCTGCTTATAGCACTCTTCGTGAAAAACACTTCACAGTCCATTTTCCTTCACCATATACTGGGCACTAATTCTCAGGTGATTTTTATGCTAAGTTGAAAGCTGGCTGTAACCTGTGAGATTCTGATGAAACATGCTATTATAACTCAAGTGTAAATACAGGACAATGCTGACATCAGTCGGTAATTTACATGGATAGTTCAGTCTTCACAGGTCTCATGGTCATTGGACATTACTGGTTAAGCATATCATTTTGGTAAAATACTCGAATATGAATTAATACATACCAGAATATCTTCACAATCAGCAATGAAGTAATTAGAGGAGAGTTTGGCGCACTCCAAGAATTTTTCCTTCATGACAGAAAGAGGCAATTTAGTATAAAGAATATATGGAATGTGTATTTCATCCATACTAAAAATTCTGAAGGAAATACATAGTAATACATACATGAATTTAAATAAATATACAGCACACATTGGATATATGAGTCCTAAGAAAACTAGAAAGAACTAAAAAAATATTAACGGAAGAAAGTTTTTAGTAAATGTCTACTTTGATATGCCAGGGTGTGCATGAAAGAGAACGAAGAATTGCTACACAAACATCTTTTGAAGATTATTCAAACACACAGATTTACTTTCTATTGAATCACTGCTTAACCAGTTGTCAACTACGTAAGAGAGAACTGACAAGCTACCTCAGGGGCTTACCACGTGAGAAGAAAAAGCTAAGGGAACTGAACAGCAGACCAGTTAAAAAGGATGTCAGTTTAGGCACAAAAAAAGTCATAAATAGCCTATTATAAAGCACAAGTAACATCTGAGGATACTGTTAACTAACAAAACAGGCTTTCAGTCACTTTAATATGCCAGAATACTTAAGTGATTAAGATATGGAAATCACTTGAAGAACCATTGAGAGAACTGAATTGTACACAATAATAGAAAGATGTTTAATTTATTTCTGAACTGTGTAGGAAAAAGGGGGATAGGAGAATGGGATGTCCATAGCAAATTTACTGTGGAAAGATGTAAATATTTGTCAATCATGTTTATTGACTTCACTCTTGTATATTAGATATTTCGATTACATTAATTGTATGTTTTCTTAAGGTACATTAATCATATGCTTTGAAATGGATATATTGAAATACATAAAAATTTGATTATTACACAGATATTTTATGGTTTACTATTTACCAAAGTTTTTAAATTAATTAGCAAATTTACTATATATTAGTATATACTAGTCATAGTATAATTGCTGATGCGAACAAATGTATTGTTCACTTCAGCGTCGCTGAATAAATTTATAGTTACCAATTTTATGTTACACAGTTCAACTTCCCTTTAAGACATGATCACTCTGTCCTTTACGCAACATCCTTCTGGATTCTGTTAGCATATTATATAGTTTATAGTCCTTGACAGTTACTCCTAGTTGAATACTTTGTAAATTAGAGTTCCCGGCAATATTGTTAATGATGGTGTGAATTCTGGTATTTAATTGTGATTCTTATGAAGCAGTGTCTTATTGTAATATCAGAATATCAACAAATAAAATTGAGATTGATTATTAGTTAGTGAAGGTACTTCATTCGAATCCAATACCCAAGGTAATTGTGTGAAACCACTTAATAAGTTGTGTCACTCATTTCAAAGTTTTCAGTATTTTTCAGGTAGTGTTTGGATCCAGAATTCGTGGATAATAACTTAATTAAGAGATAAATTCTTCAACAAGCTGCAAAACATTTTCTGTTAATTAATTTATCTTGAGCTGTATACTTTTGGGTTGACCAAGAAAATTATGCATCTGTGGCTGAGAGATGGAGAAAAGCTTGCAGGAGTTGCTTGTAATTTACATTTTACGATACTTCTTCACTTTTGTTATGGATTCCATTAGGGAAGTTGAATGTTGCTAATAGTAATGTTAACTCCATATTCTGGATTAACGTTTAAATCTGATTGACTAAAGCTTACTTATCATTATTGATCATATCTCCCAAAATTTAGGATGTTGGGGGTTGTTGAAAAACTCATGCATGCATCTTGATATGCATCTTTGTGGTTATATTTTCCTCTCCTTTTTTGGGATTAGAGGTGTCATTGGTTACTCCATGACATTGGGACACGAGCGTCTGGGTGGGAAAATGTTAGAAATATTCTTCACAGATCTTCAAAAAGACATTACAAGCGCTGTGTCATGAAGTTGGCCATTTTGGCACGATGTACAGCTAAATCTATCAAGCACCCACTAGAGATCTCTTGAGCGGTTGAATGCTTATGAGGACCATTTAATTGATTTTCTAACGGAAGGAACTACGGTTGACTTGGACAAAATAAATGAGTTCCTATATGAAGACTCAGCAACCAGCTAGTTTCAATGAAAAGTTAACTCTGAAAGTTTACACTAATCTTAGTTATGGAAGCTAAAGCTTATGTTCGAGTAGTACTGAATGGTAATGGTCCTCCACAACACAAAAAAAAAAGGATTAGTACTGCATGAGAATGGTCCTCTTCTCTTAAGAGGCCTGCTTCTGGTCAAACTTGATACTGATCTAAGATTCACTGATTGATGGCAATCAAGTTTGGCAACATCCCTCATAGTCATAGTGCATGAAAGGAAGATAAAAGTTATCAGTCATTAAAACAATGATTAGGGTAAAAAACTAGACGATGTCAAGAACTCTGGTATCATAGTATCCTCACTTAAGATTTACTAGAGCCATACTAAAATGTAAAAAAAAAAACATGTTAGTTGTAGATTGCAAAATGTTGAGAAAACCTATATTTCACTGTAAGCCTATGAACCTGATCTGAAACCAAGTGTAACCATCTACTAACTTACCAATCCACGACAATGCAAGAAGCTACTTTACCATCAAATCCAATATATACGAGGCAAACAATACAAATGCAGCTAAGTTAATGAGAATTGACTGATTCAGAATATTTAACCAGTTTGACAAATTTATCAAAAGAAGCGAGATGCCAAAGATTTTGCACACCAGTATGGAATGGAAACTAGTTGTTGACTGAAGTCTTGAGTATAATGCCAGAAGATCAAAGGTAGGAAAGAGTCCAGCACGCTGCATGAGAAAGGAAAATTTCTGTTAGGGCAATTTAATATGACACTAAAAGGTAATAATATAATATTATGTAGAAAAAATTGAAACTACTTCTAATAACATCTGATCATGCATGTAATCTATCATAAATAAACTTAATCAAGAAAGTTGTTTAGTTTTTCCTTTGGTTCTGATCCCATAGAGTTCAATCGTTTATGTATATGGGTAAAGATTCTGAGGTATTCTGAGGCTTTCCCAGTTGAGTAATTGGCATTGAAACTATTGTGTTGGACATGAGGGCTAGCTCGGTGGCAAAGCGCCTGGGCAGGGTTATGGAGGTACCAGGTTCTAGACTGAACGATGGCCTTCGTTCAAAAAGAGAAGGAAAAAAACTTGATGATTTCTATTTTTTTTTAAAGGAAGGAAAAAAAACTATTTTGGTGGGGACTTTGTGGAACCTAAGTAGAGTTTTGTTGAATATCAATTCTTTCATGAGCTTAGACATCATGTAATTTGTATGATGAACTCGCTGATGTTTATAAATGACCATAGTCATGAATAAAAGTATAACACTATCCCGTAGAGGTCAACAGAAGTGTACATATTTTCCTTTAAAAGAGAATATCAGCTGATCTTTTTGAAAACAGTAATGTCAAATGCACTGCACAAGCACATAATCTAACTGTTTTACTGATTACATTTGAACTTAGCTTATTGGTGAGTGGTGAGTACGTGGGGTATGTAAACAATGTCCCATAATTTCAGACAGGGATAAGGACACAATAAACTATTATTGGTGTACCTTGGTTGATTATACTAAAGGATGGTTGATTATTTATAATTTCAGACAAGGATAAGGCAAGCATATTAAGAAGCAACATGTAGACCTTTTTAAATACCCAACCTAGAGTTTGCTTGAAATTTATTGAAATGTCAAACAGTTTGGTGCTACTGGATAAACGTAGACAAGTGAAAGACGGCATCATCTATACTCACTGACAAACTGGACATTGATTTCAATATCTTATTTTCATGAAACAGTTGGTTACAAGCATACGAAGGAGCAACATGTATACTTGTTTAAATACGCAACCTAGAGGTTTTGCAAGTTTATAAAAATGTTGAACTCCATTATGTTGTTAGAAAGTCAGAAATGTAGAACATGTGAAAGATAGCGTCACCTATACTCACTGACAAACTGAACACTAATCTAAATATTTTTATTGCATGGAACAGTTGACCACAAGCGATTTGTGAGGCACTATGGTAGTCATCGTATGATACTAGGTAAAAAGCCAATAAGAGATGAAGAAAAATATATCAATCGCCATCCATAGGCATCACATGATGTTCTATGAAAGATGGTCGTGATCCAATGATTTTAACAATATTCGATAAAAAAGGCATAATCTAAGTCAAACTCATGAAATAATTGATGCATGCTAAATTAAATGGCCTCAAAAACCACCAACATGATTAAATATGAAAAATCTACAAAAATTAGACCATTATATTGTTGTTCAGAATAAATTTATTCAATTCTCAGAGTTCTCCCGGCACCTCTAGAAAATTGTTTCGAGTTTATCAACACCCCCTCCCCAAACACTAAGCCGTTTCCCTCATCCCCTTTTTCAGCCTTCTTCCTATTTATCTTATTGCATTTTTAGGTAAGCACGTGTAATTCCAATTATTTTCTTTATCTTTCTTATTATTGTTCTCATTTTTCTGAAATGTTTCAATACTTGTGTTTGTTAACTCTTCATGCACCTGTATTGAACTCATGTCGAATGTATCATCCTCATATCGCATAGTTTCAGTTGTATCACTCTGATACAAGCTGCAATTAAATTAATATTGCTGAAACAAAACCTGAATTGACAAGACCCGGTATTCTATGAGTTGTTTCAGTATGAGAACCTAAATTTCTGATCCAATACCTCTATACCTGTATCAGCTGATTTGAGGCTACCGTTTTCCCTCAAAAATATAACTACAAAAATGAGATAAGGAAATAAATAAGAGCACATCTCAAGTATACATGACATTATGTGATTGTTGTAAAGTAAAACTACAACACTTAACCCTCACCGCAACTTCAGAGTTTCGGTTTAATCGTTAAAAAACTAAAAAATTTATTTTACATGGTACCATAGCAACCCAAGTCTGAATCTCATTGGCCATGAATTTAATGTGGATTTTAAAATAATAGATATCACAGTATGAGTCTAGGTTTCAGCCCATAAAAAAGGCGCTCAACCTGTGAGAGCATGTTATAATATAAAACTATAACTCTCAACTCCCACCATAACTTTAGAGTTTTGGTGTAGTGGTTAAAGACTACAAAATATTTACAATGATCGATGGAAAAGTCGATCACACAGAATGCAAAAGAAAAAAAATTTGGCCTAGTGAACGGGGCTCCCACTATTGTGAGGTCTGGGGTGGGTCAGATGGACACAGTCTTACCTCCACATGCATAGATGTTATTTTCGTGATTCGAACCCAGCAAACTGAGGATTTATTAATTAACAAGTTGGTGTGTTTAATCCCATGATTTGTAGCATACTTCCCCAAATCTAAAATTGGCCTGTCTAACTCGGCAGAGTCACACATGCAATGGCATCATGCACAAATAAACATGTAAACATCATTCCACCAGAAAAATAACATGTATACATCATCCTAAAATCTATTACTTGACAAAGTACGCTACATCCCTTTCATTTTGTAATTGATTCATTTTTACATCTCTAAAGCATTTCATATATTAAAATTCAATATATACTTACATGTGCAAAACACGTATAATTAAAAGTTCAAATATACACAAGTCTTTGACTGGATTCTCAAAAAGTGCCATGTCAAACACTCAATGCATGTGTTCAAGTACAAAATCTACCAAAACTTGTTTTAGACATTATACAAGAGATAGGCTGTCATCATAATAGGATCGACATGATCAAATGTATTTAACAAAATTTGAGAATAGGTCATAAGCAAAGTCAAAACCATGGGAAACAAAAAAGATGAATGCTTAATTAAATAGCCACAAAAATAACTAACATGATTACAGATGATAAATCCACAAACTTACGACCACTTAATTGTTGTTGCTATTTTTTTTTACGTGTCAAAGGACCCTACTACTACACTAAAACTCTAAAGCTCTAGTGAGATAAACTTAATTTATATTCTTACATACCCTGTAAGCTGAGTGACCTTTTTATGGGCTGAAACATGGACTCACACAGCGGTATCGATTTTTTCTCAAAATCCGCATTAAATTTGTGTCCAGTGGAATTCTCATATGCGTATGCTCTGATGATATCATATGGTTTTTATCGATCTAGAAAAAGCTTATGATAGAATGCCCAAAGAGGTAATGTGGTGGGTGTTAGAAAAGAAACATGTATCTAAAATATATATTGATGTGAATAAAGATATGTATGATAAAGTAACAACTAAAGTAAAAACTAATAAAGGAGAGGCTAAACCTTTTCCTATTACCATAAGTTTACACCAAGGGTCAGCTTTAAGTCCTTATCTTATTGCATTGATTATGGACCAACTTACTAAGCACATTCAGGATGAAATATCATGGTGTATGTTATTTGCCGATGATATACTTTTAGTTGATGAAACTAGAAGCGACAATATTTCTAAAGTAGAAAGATAGAGATAAGCTCTTGAATCTAAATGTTTTAGAATTAGTAGAACAAAAAGAGAATATATGGAGTGTATTTTTAGTAAAACTAGGAAAGGAAGAGAGCCTATGGCATATATTGATGGCCAAAAAATACGTAAAACTAATCATTTTTGCTATTTAGGATCAAGTATTAGGCATGATGGTGAGATAGAGGACGCTGTTGTGCATCGAATCAAATTGGAATGGTTGAAATGGAAGAGTCGGTTGGGAGTCTTATGTAATCATAGAATACCAATAAAACTAAAGAAAATTTTATATATGACGATTATAAGACCAAATATGTTTTATGGGTCAGAGTGTTGGGCAATTAAAAAACATGTTCAAAAAATAAACGTAGCAGAAATGAGACTGTTGCGATGGTCTTGTAGGTATACATTAAAAGATAGGATAAGAAATAAGTGCATCCGTAGTAAATTAAAGGTTGCGCCTATTAAGGATAAAATAAGAGAGAATAGATTAAGATTGTTTGGTCATGTACAACGGAGACCCCTTAGTACACCGATTAGAAAAAACAATAATATTAGAGTTAATAGGGCTAGGAGATCTAGAGGTAGACCTAGAATGACATAGTTAGAAGCAATTAAGAATGATATAATTAAGACTAACTTAACGGAGGAGATGATCCATAACAGAATGGAATGGAAAAATAGAATTTATGTAGCTGATCCCAAACATTTGGGATAAAGGCTTGGTTGTTATTTCGATATTAGCCCCCTAAATCTATAGTATTTCAATATTAACCTCCCAAATCTTTGAATTTGATCTCAAATTCCCCTAATCTTCAATATTTTGATATTAGCGCCCCCTCCCCAAAAAAGAAAAAATTCTTTAAAATTGATCTCATGCCTCCCAAATCTTATAAGTATGTTGAAATAAGAACCCTAGTTAAAATCTACCCAAAATAGGGGAATATTCTGTTTACTTTAAGTTTTTCGATGATTTGCTAGTTATACCTCTCACACAAACAGTGATACCCCTCTCGCACAAATCCAACCACATAACCATTTTAACTTATACCCCTTAAACTCCCCAAATCTATTTAATAAAACCCTAACTAAAACTCATGTTCCACTTCATCTTCTCCAATGTCTTCTCCAACGTCTTTCCCAACGGGAATCTATCCGTTGTAAATTTGGGATCAGAGTTGAGAGTCATTGTGGAAGACATTGGAAAAGATGAAGTGGAAAATGGCTTTGGGTTATTTATTAAATGGATTTGGGGAGTTTAACAGGTACAAGCTTAAGTGATTAATGGGTCTAGGTGTGAGAGCGGTATAACTGGCAAATCATCGAAAAAGTTAAAAGTAAACAAAATATTCACCCCATTTCGACCATATTTTAACTAGTGGGGCTTATTTCAACATACTAATAGAATTTGGAGGGCTTGAGATCAATTTCCAATATTTGGGGGGCAAATATCGAAATATTGAAGATTTGGGGGGCTAATATAGATATAACCCAATAATTTTATATTCTAACATTTAGTTTTTGAAGCTCTCCAACAACTTTTATAAAAATCGGTCTTAGGTGACTGAAAGCTTCAGATGAAAACCCAACTGATTGAATGCGCACCAGAAAACAAACAAATGTTTTTTTTAATATTCAGACAATGATATCTCCATTCAATATAAAAATAACTGCTATGATAACTGGATCAAATAATGGTAGTTGGTCTACACGTTACAGTAAATTGTGTTTCACACCCATAAAATGAAGTAACAGGCAAACGACATCAAATAATGGTAGTTGGTCTCCACATTATCCACAGATTTTTTTTTTCCCCTTCCCCTTATTGACATAATTTTCCAATGAATGCATTATCGCAATATGATAGATAAATCAGACGGCAAACTTTTAGCATTACAGAAAAAGAATAAACATTTATAGATGTGTGCTTATTGACAATATTACGGAAAAGAATCACCTCTAATACAGGAGAGGAGGATCCCAGAGCTGAATGAAGCAGAGGTAGATCTTCACCTTTCAAACATGTTACTTCTCCAACAGGAAATTTTGATCCATATCTTCCAGCCCTGCCTATAACAGAAGTGAGAATAGACTCATTGAGCTTTGATGTATTAATACTACCTGATAAGTTCAAGTACTGTGAAGTTAATGCAGTAACAGTTGTACCAGTTACTATAGAGTTACAAAGTAACAGGTATAAATTTTACAGCAGTTTTTTGTTCCTTTTATTTTGTAGATTATAAATTAGAATCGTTCATTTTTTTAACTAGATTCCCAAACGACCATCTAAATCTTATTTATAAATGAGTATGGACTGAAACAAACCCAATTCATGTTCAACAAGACTTAGAAAGTGGATGTGTAGGATAGACATTCTAGACATTCTAGAAGTGTATAACAAGTGTTTTAAGCTAAAACAAACAGAATTGTATACACGTCTGAATAAATGTATGCTTATGTTCAAGAAGTGTCGGCATCCAGTACGAACATAGGAAGTGTCAGGTACGGACACGATAGTCTCAGGTACGGATACAAGTACAGGTTCATGATAGAAGTAGCCATGCAACATGGGTGATGGTCAAAACTGCGCTGGTGAGTAAAAGAAAAAAATAAAAATAAATGCACTAATGAACCTGGCTTATTCAATGAATTGCAGTTCTAGAGATTGAAGAGAACAACATAATATGTAAGCATATCCACTATTGTATGTGTAAATTTTTATCTCCTGAAATGGGGATTTCGTTTGTATTTATAAGAACAGCTTATTACAAACTAATGAATCAAAGTTACAACAGAAGCGGAGGGAATGCCCTCCTTGTTTAACGTGGGGACTTCGGTAGCGATAGGATGCCTCGCTCAGTTCTCGCACTGAGTCTGCTTCACTTGGACGATTCGATCGAGGTTGCTGGTGAACTTCAGTACATAGTAGAAGCTTGATTGGGTAAGTTCAATCAACTGAGGCCAAACAGAGGCTTGTGCTGGTTGGCTGACTGCTTGGAGAGAGCTACCATGCAAGAACTTGCAAAGAGTCTAAGACCTCAAGTCTGAGAGTTCAGACGAGTCTGCAAAGAGCTATTATGCAAGAGTCTGCAAAGAGCTTGAGAGTCAAGTCTGAGAGTTCAGACGAGTCTCTTCAAATGAAGGGGTCTTTAGCAAATGAGCCAAGTTTCAACCTTTGGAAGATTAGCCAGCCAAGCAAGCAGCAGCTAATCCTCTTCTTTCACGTTGGCTGAAAGTGACTTTAAATAGACAAGGGATGGTATGGGTCATCCCTTGATTTGTGGGATTTGACCACTAGTAAGGGTAAGAGAGTCAGCCGTCCTAGCTGTGGGATGTGACCACTTAGGGGGTCCTGTCAGCTGCCCTACTCTTACTAGGTGAGGAGCGTCATACTTTCTCCCTTGATTTGTGGGATTTGAACACTGATGTGACTGTTCTCATACTCCAAGTGGGCAGCTGACAATGATGACGGATTTCTAGTTATTAGGCGAGCTTAGTCCGCGCAGGCGAGGTGCAGGCTGTCAGGCGAGCTTGGTCTTCAGGCGAGCTCGAACTTTCGTGCTGACGAGTCGACCAAACAGGCGAGCTTCAAGCTGTCAGGCGAGCTAGGCCTTCAGGTGAGCTTGGTTCACTGTGCAGGCGAGGTGCAGGCTGTCAGGCGAGCTTGGTCTTCAGGCGAGCTTGGTTCAATGTGCAGGCGAGTTGTGCAGGCGAGGCTGTGCAGGCGAAGCTGTGCAGGCGAAGCTGTGCAGGCGAGCTGTGCAGGCGAATCTTATTCAGGCGAGCTTCAATGCTGTTAGGCGAGCTCTATCCTTGTAGACAGACTTCCTTGTAGGCGAGCTTCAGCCTTTACAGACGAGCTTCAGCCTTTAGGCGAGCTACTGAACATGCTTCGAAGAATAGGTCATAACTTTCAAACCGTAATCGGAATTGGACGAATTATATATGAAAATCGACTATCTCGACGAGACGGAGCCGACCAAACTCACCCCATAGGCTTCGGTTTGCTCCTGTCCGTTTCGCCAAATTCCTTCTGGTTTGAGAGATATCAGCGTTTTTTCCCTTTTTGCTATTTCAGGCGAAGTTTTAGCAGTTTTGTTCTGAACTTCTCTGATAGGGATTAAAGACAATTTTTATTGCCTACAACTATATTCTTCCCTTTAAAGGAATATTGGATGAACAAGAATTCCATGCAAGGATGATATTGCAAAGAATCCAATCATATGCTGAAACTTTGGCACTAGAAGAAATTAGTCATATAGTTGGAATGGGAATATGTAATTTCAAACATTAAATAAGAATTCAAGAAAATTACACTTTCTCAATATGGGAGTGGAATTTTAAACTTCACAAGTCTGATCATTTGAATACTTCTGTCATAATTCTGTACATGCGTTAAAAACAATTGTGCATTCTCTTCAATTATTTAAGAGGCTAAATTTATGACTATACTTCTCCACAAAATTGATAGAATTTTGCTAAGAAACAAAAAATCTATCCTGTGAGTCTCATTTTACATATTTAGAGTGGTAGGAGCAATTAAAACTGATATTCCCTTACCAAATAACTGGAGTAAAGATAAAACATGTTCCAAAATTAGTTATGAACTATGCCAAGGACAGAAGAATTAGCATGAAAAACAAAGAAAACTCACTTTGAGTTGACTTGAAGAAAGTAAAGATCACTAACTGCCAAAACTAATTCTACAATGGCATGGAAGAAATGCTAAGTGACATGTGCTTTTAGCAACAAATAAAACACCTGCAATCTGCTTAATTTCAGGCACGGTAAGATCCCTCGTCTGCACGCCATCAAATTTCTTCAATGTTGAAAAGATGATTCTAGAAATGTTCAGATTGAGACCCATTCCAATAGCATCACTGGCTACAAGAACATCAAACTCACTGCTTTCGTCATTGAACTTTGAAGCCTGCAAGCTCAAAAGTCAAGATTCACTTGGTTTATTCTGTACAAGGAAATATAACGATCTGCAACCATATGACAAATGCAATGTTGAAAGACTATTTTACCCCAAGCATGCAACTGCAGTTCTCCACAAGATTCCTATGTCTCCACATAAAATCATATAGCAACTGCAAATCATACTATAGGACCTCGGACTGAGCATTTAGTGTAAGATTTGTCACTTCATGAATAAAGTAAAATATTGCATATTAGATACTTACTTGACATCCAAACTGTTTATGTGTAAAGCTTTCGAAAACTAAATAAGTAATAGCTGCAATTGATGACTCTTCTTCCTCTCCTCGTTCATACACTTCTCTTTTATTGTTGATGTTTCTCTATACCTCAGCTATTATGTGCAATGCTACCATCATTGTTGCACCTAATTTTCCTTTTATTGACTTTAAGGCAGTTTTTATATAAATTGTATGAAAATAAAAAGGAAATAATCATTGTTTAAGCAGCACTCAAGCAGACAGTTGCCAAGTAATAGGCCCGTCACCTTCTGCTTAACATTTTGCCCCCCTTGTAAACATGGATTGCAACGAAGAGGATGTTACTCCCAACACTATTCGACGTCAGACATTTATCTTCTCTATTTGGTTTTTTTTTATTTGTCCTCTCATTTCAAAATTTCTCCAAAAAAGTTCTTCTCAAATCCACTCACAAATCAGAAACCCTACATTAGTGCAACTCCATAAGCACATCCATGGCCAAGGAAGAAAAATAGACTGCCATGTCACAATGGTTTCCATTCTGGGACTTGACGTATCACCATTTCTCCAAAAATGGTAACATAATTCAATGGAATCAACATAACCTTAGTATGCCCCTAGTTGTTCTTGCGTGTTAAGAATTAATGTTATCTCACGTGGTTTTTAATTGAGTACAAGAGCACATTAAGTGTCCGAGATTCTTTCAAAAGGTTAAAGCTTCTCCACATGATCCAAGAGATCTCACGTGGTAAAAAATGTTGAGTTAACTTTAGCTTGCTATCGGTTATTATCACGTAATCCTATATTTAAATATTTTGGGGTTTTTTTTTTTTGACATTTGGAACTTGACTATAACCACCTGATCCTCCACCATCAACATCCTCTGACCAGCAACAACCATGACTCAAAAATGTCTTCATGCATAGAAAGACAAACTCACTTTCGCTCCTGGCCTCTAATAATTGTGCATGAACGTCAATGAGCAAAAGGCATCAATAAATATAATAGGAGAATAGGAGATAAAGCTCTTCTTTCACTGGTTAAGAATTTGAACAAGGATATAATCTGGATATAAATTAAACTTCTCATCCTTATGTTTACAGTAAAGCTTCTCAAGTAGATTTTTTACCAGACCATTCTCCGCTCATCTTTCGTGTGTGAGAGAGAACAATCAGCATGCATGTCTTACGCATGTCTTACCCCGATCCTTCATGTGAGTAAGAATAATATTTATTTCACTAAGAGAGAACAATCAGCGTGTATGTCCTACCCCGATCCTATATCTTCTCATCCATTCACTAAGTATTTATGTCTGTAGTGAAGCTTCTCAAGTAGATTTTTACCAGACCATTCTCCTCTCATCTTTCGTGTGAGAGAGAGAGAACAATCAGCGTGCATGTCCTACCCCGATCCTATATGTTCTCATCCAGTCACCAAGTATTTATGTTTGTAGTGAAGCTTCTCAAGTAGATTTTTTACAAGACCATTCTCCTCTCATCTTTCATGTGAGAGAGAGAACAATTAGCGCACATGTCTTAACCTGATCCTTCATGTGAGTAAGAATAGATTTATTTCACAAGAAAAAAGTGTATGAAACAAAGAAAAGGAAAAAACATCACATAGGGTACTAAGTCAAATCAACTAGGATGACAAAGATACTAGTATCCATAATGAGACATATATAGAATAAGATAGGAAAGAAAAATAGTAAAAGTGCAGAAGATAGATATTGTTGACAGAACTATATGAAATACCACACTTTTATGCAAATGTTAGTTACGCTGATGAACTATAAAGCGCACAAAAACAACAAAGCCTTTATCCCAAAATGCTTGTATGCAATTCATGAGTATATTCTTCCATAAGTTCTAATAAGGGACATATGTGTTAACTAATATCATATCCTTCTTAATTTCTTTTTAACTCGTTCTTTAGGTCTACTTCTAGTCTTCTTTGCCCCAGAAATGATAATCTTATCACTTCTCCTAACTGGTGCATAATTATAAAGCACGGAACTTAAATGATACACGTAAGAGAATTTTTAAAACAGCGGGAAGTACCTGTTTAGTTCGAGTTTCAGGTGGTAGTGAGCCATATACGACAGAACAAAGATGCTTCTCTTCCTTTTCAATTCTTCTCTGCAGAAATTAAAAAGAAATGTATGTGAGAAAAAAGATAAGAAGACATACAATAGCATATCAAATAAACAGACCAACAAACAACTTGTTGGTCATTATTCAGCAAGTCATCTGCTCAAGGAAAAGCAGCGGAAGCATGAGTTGTTAAACAATTGTACTTTTATTTTAGTGGACAAGATTGATCTAGGCATTTGATAAAGAAAAAGTTGCTCCAAAAGAAATACGGAATAGATAGCTTATTATGATACATGGCTATTAACTTAATTCCAAGAATTTCTGCTTCGAAGCCTACAGCATTAGCTTCATGGAGACAGCAACCAAAGCTGGGATGCAAACAAGCTTGACCTTTTTATAAGCTCTAAACCTCATGTTTGTTCGACGAATATTATCCTTATAATTAATGTTACAGAAGACGCTAAGCACACTAGGCGTTCGAACCAGGGTCTAGAGCCTAGGTGGCTAGGCGTGCAGCGTGTAGGTGTTTACCTAGGTGGGTGTTGGTAGAGAGCTGTGAAGGTGGGTGTCAGCGACTGCAGGAGGTGTCGGTGGATGTCAGAAGAGGTGGGAGGAGGCTAGGAGGTGGAGAAGGAGGCAGCGGGAGAGGAGGGGTGATCGGGAAGAGGCGGGCAACTACGGAGATGCTAGTGGGTGTCGAAAGAGGCGGGGAAGGAGGTGGAGTAGGAGGCAGCGGGATAAGGAGGCGTCGAGAGGCGAGGCGATGGGAAAGGACTCGAAGGATAAGGGAGAGCTACGGAGGTGGGTATCAGCGGTTGCGGATGAAGAGCACATGAAAGAGAAAGAGATAGGGTTTAGGTTAAGTGAAGCGGGTCGGTATGGGTTATGGGTTCGGGTTTTGGTTTTTTTTTTTTTTTTTTTGGCTTAAAATTGGGTTTTTCTTTTCTTTTTTTTTTTTTGTTTAAAAAGCTAGGCGGCCTACCTAAGCAGACCCCCTAGCCCTAGGAGCCGCCTAGGCAGGAGCGAAGCCTAGATTGGACACTCCGGCCAAATCTAAGCCGTAAATAGTCCGCCTACATCTAGGCGTCCGCCTAGGCCACTTTTTACAACATTGCCTATAATTTATCCAGGTAGATGCTCTTTGTATTACTCATCATTTAGGTATTATCAACATAGAGCGGACAAGGTTTTGCGGTTTATGTACCTTTTATATGGACCTCATTCAGAAAATAAATCCTCTAATGATGTAATATATATACACTAAAGGCTTTTAATAAATCCTCTAAAGATGAAATACATCAACACTAAAGGCTTTTAATTTTGATGAAAAGTAGACTGGCATTTTAATTTTATTTCCCAAGGCATGACAAAAGATGGAAGCAGAACCAGCTAAAGGTATATATACCTGTGATGACATTTTTCATAATAAATGTTACCTAGTCACAAATACAACATGAAAAGGTTGAGACGATATCTAGTGTAAAGGAAGACGGTATCTAGTGTGAAGTACTATGTTACACAGAGTTACAGACAGGGGTACAGGAATAAGAATGGGACAAGGAAATTTTGTAAAAGTGAGGATAAGGACTATTATGCTTTTAAGAGAAAAAAGCATCTTCTCCTCTCGTAGTAATGAGCATGCCCAAAGTTGTGCATTCTTTCTATTGTAATATATCAAGCTCGCAATAATTGGTTAGCTCCGAGCCTAGAAATATTAAGCTGAAACAAAATATTATCAGATAGGATGCGTAAGGTTACATGAGCAAGATAACGAAAGGATTATTAATATCTTTGTTAATATCAGTTATCTAACAAGGGGTATATTGATGGATTATGAGTGGTGTAAGGGTACTTAGGCTTTCTTACACGGTTGATTATTAAGCTGATAGTTACGTCCTGCACATGAATAACACTTAAGAGGTCGGAGTTGGGATCTCCGGTGGTTCCTTCGACGGTCAAGTCAGCTTTGAGCTTGAGTAATGAAGAAGAGTTCAAATGTATAAGGGTTATTTTGGGCAGAATTTTCTTACCCTAAGCAGCAGTCAACACCTTCCTTTTATAGTAGATCCAAAGGGGCAAATGAGTTATGGCCGAGTTAAGCAGGCGGCTCCATTGGCATTTACTTTACACGTGTCAGTTGTAGAGGGGGGTGAGTCACTCAGGTGTGTAATGTGAGGGTGAAAGAATGTGCGTAGTGCTGACGAGGTTCAATAAGTCATAAAAACTTTTAGGGTTAGAGAAATAATGACTCTGACCACGTATTTAATGTGATCGCAATTGACTGTCAACAAGGGGCTTGAGGATGCACAGCCTTCAGACTCGTCTCGCTAGAGGCGATAAACGCCGTCTTTTTAGTCAACCTCACAAATTGTTGGCCTAGAGGAGCCGAGTGCCTAGAGGGAGCGGGGTCGACTGAAATGGTAGGTTGAGTGATGATGCTTCTCGTCTCGATCTTACCGGTAGGTCAACAACTACCATCTTTTTAGTCGGCCTTACAAGTTCTCGGCCTGACGGGATCGACCATTGAAATTGTTCAAATCGTCCCTCTTTGAATATGGTTGATTGGGCATAGAGTGGAACACGTGTCGGCTCCTCATATAGGGATTAACACTTAACTATTTGCATGATATAACACTGACCCTTTTCATTCGAACTTGGTTGGCCCAGTCCGAGTAAAATGTGAGCAGTCAACGGTTGGCGATACCCAAGGCACATTTATGAGGAAAGCGATGGGTCGCTATTGATGTGATACTATGACGTCACTAGGGATTGTGCGCGGTCGTCGCCGCATTTCTTGAGTGTAAGATGCGTGTCAACCGAAGGACAGCGCTTCGGTTCTTGTGCGGTCTGTTCAACTTCCGAGGTTGATCCAAAACCATCGCATCTTCAATTGAGTCGGCCGCTCTGATCTCGACATGCGTCTATCTCTAAATATATATATATTATATATATATATATATATATATAATATATAATATATAATATATATATATATATATATATATAATATATATATATAATATATATATATATATAATATATATATATATATAATATTTAAATAATATATATCAGCTCTACAGAGGGGTTTTGTTTACAAACTATCTTAAACTATGAACCTGTAGATCTCTCCACCGAGCGATTTTTGGCTAACTTCCAACGATCTCTAATGGCTTCCACTGCTCCTATTCATCGGCCGTAATGAGATGAGGATTAACCTCTTAAGGAATTCTAGCTTGAAGCTCTGCACAACGGAGCTCGAGGCCTACTACAATCGCTACGATCTCCCCAGAGCGTTCACCTTGTCGGTGCCAGAGAGGGCTCATGCTATGTATGATCACAGCGGTGTGATGGCCCAGATCTACCTTAGCACTTGGAGTATGGACTTCAACTACCGTTCCACCTCTTCCTCTCTCATGTCTTCGAGGCTTTGGGGTGTCTCTCTAGCAAATCAAGTCGAACTCCATCGCCACATTAGTGGGGTTCGTGATAATCTATCACCGGATTGGAGTCAATCCGACCGTGTGCATACTCGGTCACCTCCTTAGTGTTAAATCTGGGAAGGAGCACTTCTTCTTCCAGAACTTGGACGGCTTCAAAGTCATCTTGAACGACTCCCGAGTCAAATAAAGACTGGAAGGAGGTCATGTGGAGAAATGATGACTTTGATCATGCATTTAATGTGATGGTAATTGACTGTCAGTGGGGGGGCTCGAGGATACACCGCCTTCCGACTCGTCTCGCTAAAGGCTGATAAATACCGCCTTTTTAGTCAGCCTCACAAGTTGTCGGCCTAGAAGAGCCGAGTGCCGAGAGGAAGCGGGGTCGACAGGAATGGTAGGCCATGCTTCTCGTCTCAATCTTATAGGTAGGTCGATAAGTACCGTCTTTTTAGTCGGCCTCGCAAGTTCTCGGCCTGACTGGTTCGACCATTGAAGTCGCTTGAGTCATCCCTCTTCGAATATGGTTGATTAGGCATAGAGTGGGACACGTGTTGGCTTTTCATTTTGGGATTAACACTTAACTATTTGCATGATATAACAATCTCAAATTATCAACACAATGGGCATGTGTAGAGACAAATAATAAACAACCATTTTCATTTTTTTGTCTTAATAAATATAACAATAAAAATACGCACTAGAAAACTTAGCAGACCTTCAGCTTATATATCCCACGCCTCGAGAAAGTAACAATGCAATCACCAGTTCTAATGTTAGAGAAGGACCCAAGTGGAGTTTTTGAGGGCACCAGAGGGGACAATCTCTCATAATATTGAACCTATGTAAAAATAAGAACAGATTATGACATGTTAAAATATATGAAAAGGTTACAGAAAATAACCATATACCTCTATGCTCTGAAATTGCATGATGGCAATGCAAAACTTGAAGTGTGAGAAAAATTGAAAGAGCCAGAGAGGAATCTTTCATAATACGGAACCTAAGTAGAAGATATAAGTGTGCCGAATTAAATATACAAAAAAGACTACAGTACAGTCTCAAATAATAGAGAGATGGCAAAAATATGTACACATCGAGTTATTTCAAACAAGCATTTATTGTGTATATATCAAGAGAGCAGGCTTTCAGAGTCATTTTTCCTCGGTTTGGCTGTGGGTTTTAGGGCAAACTTTTTGTGGTTATTGGTTGATTTTTTTTTAGTTTAGGCTCGGATTGATTGAGATGGTAAGGGAAGATAACTGCTCATTTTGAACGGAGAGCTACGCTTTGGTTTGTAATTCTTTGCAGAAGAATAGCCTCCAAGAAAAACTGCATAGGGCCTTTTGGCTATCTTGGTCTTTCTCATTGCTTTTTATAGATTATAATTGTTCTCTTTGTACTATACAGTGATAAAAACTTTTTAGATCAGACAAGCCTCAAATATTCAAATATGGATCTTACTTATGATAGTAACTTAACCTTTCTTGTTACATCCAATTAAATTTACTATCTTGGATAGTGAGCCTGAACCACTAACTCGCTACTTGTAATGTTGACCATAACCAACTAATTAACTACTTGGGACAGAAACTCACAACTAACTAAATACCACATTACTTTTGTGTCTGTGTAAAAAATATGTAGCCTAGTTTCGAACTTGCGCAATACTTTTATGAACCGTTCCAAAATGAACAAGAGTTCATGAAAAAAAATGCAGACAGTCAAAAACATAACCGAGCAAACAAAGAGGCCAGAGAGGATTATGCCGAGTTGGTGCCACCACTGCATAGTTTCCCATTTTTGAAAACTTACATCAACCAAAAAGATCCTAACGAAGTACTTTCAAGGCAGATTTTTCACAGTAATTGAACTAAAAGCCGACTTCTGCAATTCATCATAAACGGAGGTGTATCCAGCATAATATGAAATAATAGTATCCAAATCAGGGTTAGGTCTATTATGACTTTTCTACTAGACCACAAGAAGCTGAAACGGTAAAGTTAAATTATTATAGCATAAGTTTCATAACCTTAATAAATACCTAAATTTATATCAAAAATGACAAAAAATAGAACACTGAACGAAAGGAACTTGTATAGAATTAGATAAGAGTACACGAACAAAAATGTATGCATATAATTAGGACTAAGAAAGAAACCTGGACGACATCATCAGTTACTTCCAATATACTCTGGATAAGAGGAACAGCAGCTGGGTCTCCACAAATGTGAAGTTCATCTGAGCAGATCCCTAACAATGCACGAGTAAATGAATACCCTCTTTGTTTGCATGCTACCATCTACAGAAACCAAAGCAAAAGAGTAAGGAAATTGATAATGAACTATCAAACTGAAATTACCTTTAGAACCTTGCCAGCAAGAAGAGGTATATAAACTAAAGTGACTTAATCTAATTATTAGACCGAGGTATTACAACAAACAAATAACAAATAAGTGAAGACAATCTAATTGCTTAGGATGGCAACCTAATATGAGTTCACATTGTAAATAAAACTTTGTGAAAAAAATTAACGAGAATATATATAGAGAGAGAGATGAGCTTATGTCAACTTAAGTGGATAGAAGACAATGTCCACCAAACTTTTTATCTACTCGTCTTGTCTTTAGATTAGTGCCATCAAGAGATGTACAAATCTCAAAAGACTCTTCATATCTTTCACGGATCCCAAGGCAACATGCCAACATTAATGGATAAAAAAGTTGGTGGCTCCTATCCAACTTAAGTTTTACATAAGATTCTTCTCTCTCTCTCTCTCTCTCTCTCCTCTCTCTCTCTCTCTCTCTCTCTCTCTCTCTCTCTAATATATATAATATATATATATATATATATATATATATATATATATATATATATATAGCTGGTGTCTTTTTTTGTTAAATGAGCTATGAAGAGATAGAAATGGTGAAGGTCCATACTTTTCGATGCAGCAAGCAGCACAGGCTAGCTTGTTGAGCCTAAATGAGTTGCCACCTTATACCCATAATACACATACACACATAGAGACACAAATGAGTTGTCACCTCATACCCATAATACACACACGCATGCATGCACACATACAAAACTGAAAAACAAAAAAGAAACTTTCATTAGACTATATAAGAACTGGCCATCATTTAATTCTCTCTGTACCCGAATACTATGCTATTAAGCATTTTTTATGGAATAATGACTGTATTTAGAGGCTCATGGAAGCAACACTAACTTCCAAATTATGACAAATTTAAATCTTAGAAGTTTTGTCACTTCTTAAAGGTAGATTTTATTTTTTTACCTTTTTCTTTTATTTTATTTTTTTGGTTATTCCTTTTAGACATGTTTGATGCTAGTATCACAAATGATCTATTATTAACAACTTTCAAGTTTCATTGATGAAACTTGAGTTTAACAGGATGTCACCGTTCTTTTTAAAAAAACCAAGTCCAAGGCCCGCAAGCCCATTGACGCAATGTAAGCCTTGAGACTCACTGAATGTAGCGTGTTGTGTGGCTCAAACCATTGCCAAATCAATTAGCCAACGCTACACTTTAGCCCATTATATTACATCAGAAACACTTCAACATCTTCACAATTACCCGATATGGGACTAAACACATGAGGTATCACAATCACTTCACCTTACATACTCTACGTCCTCGTCGTGACAATGACAATTGATTCATCACAATATCACCGCCAAGCAATGTGGACTCTACAGATGACTCCTCCGGATTCTAGAGATGGCTCACACCGTCCTCACGCAGTATAGAACTTAGTCTAGCATAGCATTTAGTTCCAACAACTTCTCAAGAAGTCTTTTGCCTATAAACCCAAAGTTTTGTCATCGTTTATTTTTTATGCACCTACTTCAAAGAAGAATGTTTACATATGAACAAAGTTTTATCCCCCATTTATTTTTAACCCACACACTTACAGAATCACACTTAGCCGTCAATTTCTGCCATATGCCTAAATTTTTGTTTTTTTTATTTGAAAATCGCATGTTTACTCCAATTTATTTTTAGACCCACTCATTTCCAAAATAGGATTCATGTCTATAAACCCTAAGCTTTACTCCTGATTATTCTTTAAACCTATGTATGTTTAAAGTTTTACTAGGTCCCCCCCCCCTCTAAACTCAAAGTCTTACCCATGATTTATTCTTAAGTTCATCTACTTCCAAAGAGTATTTTGCCTATAAACCCAAATTATTAAAGTCAATTTGTATAACATCAGCCTATGAACCCAAAGGTTTGCCCCTATTCATTTTTAAACTCAATCAACCAAAGTCACTCTTAGGCCTGAAACACTCGACGTAAATAATTTTAAACTTACTTTATATAGCATCACTTTATTATACCATATATGGTGATATATTGGTGTAACTTTATATACGTTTGTTCTAAGTGATTAGGTATTTGGTATATTAAAATAAGATACTCAAATTATAATTTTCTTAAAATTTTTCACAATAATGACGCTACATCACAAACTGTAGATTGATTCTTTGTTTATAAACTCACTTGATATATGGTCTAATTTGCTACATTTTAGTGCAATTTGGTATATTTTTCTAAGTGATTTGAACTACGATGTTTTTTTGTACCAACTAGTTCTAACGTTATTTATTGTAATTTTTCAAGCTAACGTCGTGGCATCGGGTGGGCTATTTTTGCTCGTTAATTCGGAACACTATGAACTCTGCTATTATGTTGGATGTGTTAGAACTATGAATCAAGTCTTTATTTTGTGATTTGGTCATACATATTATTTATCTTAACACATTTTTATGTAATAATTCGCAAACATGTTCTTTTGTGCTTGATTATCTATCTTGAATAATTGTGTTTGTCATGTGCGCCTCAAGCGCATGCATCACAATGTGCCTATGCACGTAAAAGAACTCGCCCCATATTGCGACTCACGCATCGATAACACTGTTCATAATCACTAATAATGTATGAAAATATGCCTATCTCTTTAACTCAATTAGGATTAGTGTTCAAATATTAAATCCTTTGCAGTAAAAACTAGTGTATATACATAACGAAAAGCTCTTGTAAACTTAAAATGGACCGAGGGCCCAAGCCACAAACATTTTTATCCCTTAGATTTGCTTTGAGTGTCTTGATGTGTGATACATATTAAGGCACCCATCTCAAAAATAGTTTGATATTGTATCACATATCAACACGAAATTCAAAGAATATCCAAGGGACAAAAATTTGGTTGATGGAACTCTCAGTCCACTTAGGCTTGGTTTGGTAAATGGTGAGATGAGAGGAGGGGATGGAGTCGAGGGACAAAAATAAGTTGTGGTAGGTAAGGGTTTCAGAGAGGGAGATGAGTGAAGGGTGGGGAGGGTCGATTTAAAATGAACTAGAAATGAGGAGAGAGAAGAATCTCTCTAAATTGGAGGGTCACAAGAGAGAAAATGAACTACCAAGTGGCACATCTCCCCTCTCCTTCACTCCAACAAAATAAGAAGCGAGAAAGGTATGTTCTTTGCACCTCATTGTACCTCCCCTTCGTCTCCCCTCTTCATACCTCTTACCGAATCATGTCTTAAGTTTACGTGAGCTATAGTATGCATGTACGTACATATGCATGCATGTACATATATACATGTGTGTACATATATGACTTGCTTTTAGTTGATAATATTAACATTAATGCTTCAAAGAGTTTATATGCAAAATGATTGATCTATGCATGAAACCAAACCCTCCCTCTCGTTCCTGCTATAATCTCTGTTATCACTTCCTTCCACGATAACCCTGGATGCCAAACATCTAAACCCTAACTCCTAGCAGCACACATCCACCCTGAGCCCCTGCTTCGACTACCTAATTTTGCCTTCAAAAACCCAAACCAAGCCCAAAATCTTAGCCGAACACCTCAAGCCTCAAAACTCATCCAAAATCCCTCCTTCAAACCATGCCCAATCGCTACCTAACTTCTTCCATCCTTTTCCTTTCTTTCTAAACACTAGAACCACATAAAATCTCTAGTGAACCCTCCCCTTTCTGCTCCCTTCAGTCTAATATCCACAAATTCCCAAAACTGAAATTTCAGTGCCCCAAAAACCCAAATAAATAAGGTTTATTACAATTGATAGAAATTGATTGTAGTTCTAGCAGTTTCTCGAGCATAATAAAAAGAAAACAATTGATTACGTGCTAGCTTCTTGCTTTACACGTTTAAAATCAATGCTTTGTCCTAATTAAAAGGTGACACATTAACCGAATATGGAAAATAGAAATGAGCAAAGTTTGTCTGCAAAGTTGAATTGCAATTCTCTCTACAATTCTGAAGTGCTTCGCATTGCATCATAGGTTTAATCCCGCTTATAGTAGTCGTTCTTAAAGGATCTATATCTAGTGCATACATATAGATTTTTATAACTTTAGGATTTATCTAGATATGTCATTGTTATAGCTTGCATATGGTCTGTGTTATTTGTTTGTCATTTGATTACTAATTCGTCATCCAACATACCTTGACATGAGCACTATTACAGGTTTTATAGAAAGGTTTGAAAATGCTTTCTGAAACTGGCTTCAAAACATTTTGAAGGAAAATCTCTTTGAAACTCATATGTGAAGCCATTTATCCCTTGAAGCTTTCACCTCATCACTTCAAGCATAAATAAATGTGTGTTTCACACTCCATTAAGTGTTTCTCTTTTGAAACGCAACTTTAGACAAGATAGGAGGATATAAAAGAATATTTGACTCTAATTAAAATACTGCTAGTTCTCATTTTCTTTGCCACTCAAAGATTTCCCCTTTAATAAGGAAATTCAAATTAGAACATGTCTCTTCAATATGACCATGTAACTGTGTGTGCATATATATGTGTGTATACGTATATGTGTGTGTGTGTATATATGTGTGTGTATATGTGTATGTGTGTGTATTACACATGTAGATTAGTTTATTATGATTTGTGTCTATACTTGGCATGTTTAATTCTTATTTACTAATAAAAACCTTAATGAATCTATTGTAATTTTTGTAGCATTGTATATTATATATTTATAACATTTATATATTTTAAAATTAAAAAATATACTTAACTCGTGACGCATATGCCTCACACTTCGAAGCTTAAAACTCGCTTAATAAAAAGGTCTAATGCTTCGCCTCTTGCTTCTGCTTTTTTAAACATAATATAATATTTTCCTTTGCCGGTCAAAAATTTTAGTTTAAGCCTAAATTTAGAAAGAAAAGAAAATGTAAGGTTCAGGATGTTACTTGAATTACCTGAATTTCATCTATAACAGCGCATTGATAATCTCCGAGCACATCAGCCATTTCAACAGTCACTGCACTGTGCTTCGCACCATCTATTTCCTCTCTTTCTTGTCCAGTCATCAAGTTACATAGAACGTTTGCCCTGTTCAATCTTTTTGCGACCTCCCACGCCAATAGTCTTAAAGGTCCACAGTATATTCCTTTATCAGATGGTAATAATAAAAATATTAGTATAGATATGCAGATGGTTTTTGAAAATTTATCTGCATTTTATCATGAATTTTACCTGAGGTGCTAGATTCCAATCGCTTGAGTGCATTATATGTCTTTCCACTGTTTGTAGGTCCAACATGCAAGAACACGTTTCGCTTCTTCCTCCGAGCATTTGGGTACCATGTATGAGGACAGCTACAATCAATATAAACTTAGAGGATATAGGGAAATATTTAAGAACTGATTAGTTAATAACTGATACATGCACTTATAAAGAAAAAAGGGTCAAAAAATTCAGTCTTTCTACCAGTATACTCTTCCCCTATTACTATAAAGAAAGAAGATATTCAGGGATGACCTAAGAATAAGTTTCTTAGAATTCAACAAATGTCAATCACAGGGATTGAGACTTTTAAAACTCTGAGAAAATCAAATATTTATCATCCAATCATTAAGGAAATCTATTGAATCTTTAATAATGGTGAATGCCAAAGAATAATTAAAGTTTAAATAAGCAAGATCTACATTTTTAAGGTTACCAAGGAAAACAGTAGCATGCGTAACCTGGAAAATTATTTTTTTTATTTTTATTTTTTTACTAAAAGAACATGAAAAGGATGTGTACTAGAAATGAGAAATGATTTCTTGCATCACTTAAGAAAGCTGTCAAGGAATTGATTTCTTACGTTAGATCAGTCAAGTCAAACTTTCCTGTGCCATGATAGCTGCTTAGACATCTTAAACCATGCCAAAGATGTAAACCAGATTCGCGTTTCTGCTTCAAGAGAATTGAGAAAAGTGTTTTATCTGCAAGGAATTTTATGGGTGAAATAAAACTCGTTCGACTTAAAACATTATGACACTTGAATTCCAGATTTGCTCCACGGACCAGATAATGCAAGCCTAGCATATAAGAATAAGCATGTGCATAGAAAATTATGTTGATTTGAGATCTTCCAGTCAAAGAAAACAATCTGCTTTTCTAAATTTCTAGCAAGATTTAAGATACATAAGTAGCATTTTAGTTTATATAAAGTGGACTGAAAAAAATCAGTGACCTATAGCTGGTTTTGTCGCATGTGACGCCAAAAGATATGGACTAGACTAGTGACAAACCGGCATCTATGAACTGCAAAAATGTGATGGTACGTTAGGATCCAATTAGTCTCGCGGAACCGCGATGGTATCTTATGGTCTATTTGGTCCCCCACTAACTAAACAGAGAGTCAAATGTGGGTTTATAAAAGATTTTTTATTGGACAAATTTTTAAAAAAGACCCTTTTTTAATATTAATAAGCAAAATCGACCGCTTACAATTTTATTCAGCAAAATCGACCGCACGGGACTGCTAGTCCCGTGCAGTTCTCCAAAAACCCCAAAAATCAACGATTTCCTCTCTCTCCCCCTCTCAGTCCCTCTCCCTCTCCTCCCTCCTCCGCCCTCTCCCAAAAACACACCCATCCCTTCGCTCCCCTCAAAAGCCACACCGCTCACCGAATCAAATATCTCCCTCTCCTCATAATTTACTTGGAGGAACATGACATCTGAGTTCATCTCAGCAAACTGGCAAATCTGCCCCCCCAAAAAACAAACAATAAATACATAAATTCACAAACATTATAGGAGGGAGAATTATATTATCAGCAATTGAAAAGGGGTTGATGAGTTTTGTACAGAGATTATACCTTTGGGTGAAGGGCTTTGCATCCTCCGCATCCAGGAGAGAAGAAATCTACAACCACGAGCTTGTCGCCTGCGGTTTGTAAAGAATCGACGAGATCTTGAGCTGATTCGATCTCCTTCATGTTTGGCTGCAACCCTTTCTTCCACCATCTCATAGCCTTTGGAAAGGCAAGAGTCATTTGCAAAATTTCATCCCCCTCCCCGTCGTCCACGACATCCAGCTCTCCTAGGGCCTCTCTTTCGCCTTCTCCGCTGTCAGGTACGTCCGCTTCGACCAGGACCTCTCCACCGGCAAGTCATCCGGCCCCCGCCCCTGGCTCGGCCTCGACGGACTCGTTGTTTTTTGGGGAGTGAGAGGGGGAGAGGGCGGAGGAGGGAGGAGGGAGGAGAGAGACTGAGAGGGGGAGAGAGAGAGGAAATCGTTGATTTTTGGGGTTTTTGGAGAACTGCACGGGACTAGCAGTCCCGTGCGGTCGATTTTGCTGAATAAAATTGTAAACGGTCGATTTTGCTTATTAATATTAAAAAAGGGTCTTTTTTAAAAATTTGTCCTTTTTTATTCTCTTCATTCCTTTAAAGGCTAGCTTATAGAGAGGTGTTCTCCACGGTTTCTTAGCCATCTCCAGTAATCCATTAGGGCCGGCCTAAACTGACAGCTTCATAATTCCAGGAAAACAAAAATCACACCAGCATCAAATCTGCAAGTGTTGGGCTACACATTCACCCAGAAAAGCCATCAAAATCAAGCCAAGCATTAGGTTCCAGTCCCAAGCATCTCTGAGGCATAACATCAAACATTTTCTGGGCAATGACCAATATGCATCAAAACAACCCACACACAACCCAAAAAATAAAAACTAAAGAAAAAATAATAACTCCAAGATCACTTATCAATTGAGAGCTCTTGAAATACCCATGATAAATCGATCCATTTCTTTGAGGCATAACATCAAACACTTTAAGGGCATCAAGTAAAACAAAATAATAAATCAAAATTAGCTTTGCTTACCATTAAGAATCTGCGAGGCCCATGATGAGGATATCTTCTTGAGGATAAGGAATCGAGCCATTGTTGGGTTCTTCTTCCTTCAACTTTTTTTTTTAATTTTCTCTTTATCTTTTGAAATGGGCTTGAAGTCATGAAGACATTGAGAGGAGAAGAAAGAGGTAGAACTATTCAAAGACCTGAAAATTTTTGAGGAAAAATTGCCGCAGTTTGCTGCCGAGAGCTTCGCATCGTTTGAAGGAAATATCGAGTAGGGCTGCAAACGGGTTGGGTTTGGGTGCCCCAAAGAGAGCGGGTGACGGTCCGCTATCGTGCTGGTTGTAAATCCTGCCTAGCACGAACCCGCTAAACACAAAGGGCTCGTTGACTTTTTTTTTTTTTAATAGACGAGCAATGAGCACCTTATGTACGTAAGACGGGGTTATTGTAACGAATTTGGTGTTGCGCCCCGCGGAAGCGTGCACAATCTAAATGAGTCGGTAAGCAATGCAAGAGGAACATCACGAGCACAATTCACAAAAGAACGACCAAAACCAATCACAAACACAGAGAATTTACGTGGTTGCTTACGTCCACGGGGAGAGGACGGGAAGATTTCACTATATGGAGAAGAAAAACAAAGCGTTACAACTCTCTCAAACACTCAAAATAATCCTAGCCAAAAGATCTCACTCCTTCACAATAATCTCTCTCTCAAAGTGTTCAAAACAACGTCTTTTCTCTGTAAAATCTCTCTCTCTCTCACAACCCTAGAAATCATGTTTCTATTTATATCAACACTCAATCCAAAACAGACTAGGAAATCAAAATCGGCCCAATACCGCTATCAGTCGACTGAAGGACCCTCGTCAGTCGACCGGTCAATGCGCATCGGTCGACTAATAAGAGTCCATCAGTCGACCGACCAGAACAGCAATTTCGGACCCTATAACGTGCATGTTGTCGGTCGACTAATGAACAGTATCAGTCGACCGACCTGAGACTTTCATGTAGCTGCTATTTCCTGCCGATCTTCATCCCCAAAATGTGATTTGCTTCACCCAATCCTTCATCTCAAACTCGCCCGAAAGTTGTATCTTCAATTCATCTATAGTGAATCTGGAAATGGAAGTAACCAACATGTCATCGACATAAAGTAATAAATAAATGTACGCATCTCCATGCAACTTGTGAAAGTACATGCAAGGATCAAACTGGCTCCTAATGTACGACTTGCCAAGCATAAACTCATCGAATCGTCTATACCACTATCTTAGAGATTGCTTCAACCTGTATAGCGATTTCTTCAATCTACACACTATTTTTTCTTTCCCTGCAGCTTGAAACCCTAACGACTGAGTCATATATATTTCTTCATTAAGATCACCATGAAGAAATATCGTTTTCACATCCAATTGATCCAATTTCAAACCATACAGTGCCACCAAAGCTAGCAAGATCTGAATAGAAGACTGTTTCACTACCGTAGAGAAGACCTCATTGTAGTCAATGCCTTCTTCCTGTGCATAACCCTTCGCTATCAACCTAGCTTTGAACCTCACTGGAGTGCCCTGAATACCCTCCTTCTTGATATACACTCATTTGCAACCAATTACCTTCCGCTCCTTTGGAAGCTCGACAAGCTCTCATGTGTCATTCTTCTTAAAAGACTTCATCTCCCCATGCATAGCTTCTTGTCACATATCAGCCTCTAAACTCTGCTCAGCCTCTCTGAATGTAGTAGGAACCATCTCATCGACACTCTCTACTGGAAGTGCATATGCAACCATTATATCTGTATATCTCGCTAGCAACCGTATGTGTAGGTTGTCTAAAAATTACTACAAATAGCTTATCCCCATCAAACACCGATGATGAAAGTTATAATTTGATGGCTTCCAGAATGTTATAATTTAAAAAATTTCACGTAGATCGATGAAAGCTCTAATTATTCATAATCAACATCGAGAATTACAATCTGACGACTCTCATATTTTCAATGAGCCAAGACGAAGGTTACAAGATGACGATCTTTGCAACGTTCTAGCAAAAGAGACTACAAATTAACGGTCTCTTCAAATCAAAACGTAAATATCTCTCAAACCGTAAGGAATTTGGTGAAACGGACGGGAGCAAACCAAACCCTTAGGGTTTGTTTAGTCGGTTCCGTCTCTTCGAGATGGTCGATTTTTATATATAATTTGTCCAATTCCGACTTACGGTTTGAAAGTTATGACCTGTTCTTCGCAACAAGTTATGTTCTGAAGTCCGTCTGCAAGACTGGACTTTGCCTGAACATTGGACTTAACATGAAGCTTGCCAAGCCCACTTGAGGCTCACCTCTGCATTCCAGAGTTAAAACGTAGAGTTCATCTCTGTGTCCTAACGATAAAACGCAGAGTTCGTGGACTCAAAACGCAAAGTTCATCTCTTCGTCCCAATGACAAAACACAGAGTTCGTGGACTCAAAACACAGAGTTCATCTCTGCATCCCAACAACAAAAACGCAGAGTTCGTGGCTATATTTTTAGGCTCAAATGCAGAGCCCAACTCTACGTCCCAGACTTAAAACGCAGAGTTTATGGCTACGTTCTAGACTCAAAACGCAGAGTTCATTGCTGTATTTTCAAGCTCAAATGCAGAGCCCAACTCTGCATCCCAGATCCAAAACACAGAGTTCATGCCCAGAACGCAAATTCTGTATTTGACTCGTTCAAACACAAGTTGAACGGTTCCAGAAACCATTTTCTCCTCACGATTTGAGGGGATCACCATCCTATCATGGAGAGATTTATGGGGGGCGGTTACACCCCATTAAACCCTCATTAATGAGAGATTTAAGGGTACGGTTACACCCCTTAATCCCCTATAAATAGCAAGGAAACTCAACTAAGTTCGGGATCTCGAATTGATCTCTAATTCATCTTCTTTTTGGCAGCAAAGAAGAGATCTTTTGGTAGATCATCTTTAAGGGAGATCGGCATTTATCCTTAGAGAGCTCAGAGCATTCTTCGGCAATAGGAGCTTTCTTCATCCTTGGCTTACAAACCGATTTCGGTTAAATCAACTCTTTCATAGAGTTTCAAACTCGTTCAGAGTTATCAACACATCAAGAGTTTCAAACTTACTTTGCAAGTTCGTCCAAGACGTCGAGTCAAGAGGTGAAGGCAATGTTCTAGCGAGGTGAAACGTCGGATCGTCAATGAGAAGAAAACTCGACGCGAGTTTCGATGAAGGCATCTCATCGACACCAAGAAGAACCTAGGTTAAACAAAGGGAAGGATCTCCATCGACCCTTCTCCCTTTTGTAAATCAGGATTCTGATTGAGAAGATTGTAATTTCTTTTTCTAAAGTTTGTTAGAGAGAAATTGTATTGAGGACGTTATAATCATTCTTTATCTAAGTCAGTTAGAGAGAATAACATATTTTTGTTCTCAATTGTCTTTCTCGAAGTTTCTCACCAAACAAAAGATGGAGACTCCGCTGGGGATAAGTTTTTTCGCCGATGAAGAAGTGGTGGTGCAATCCGATACCAAGCTCGCTAGAACGAGCGTTGAAACTCTGATCATCGAGTTCGATCAAGCTAAGTATAAGGAGTTACTCTCCTCCGAATCCCTTAGCCCTAAGACTATGCACAAGATCCACAAAGTTTATAGGGAGACTAAAGCTTCAGTTGTGACTGACTCGTTAAAAGACTATCTCTCCTGGGGTTGCACTATTCATGCAGTCCCCTCTTTGAAGGAAAAGACTTAGCTTTGGCTAAACTCATCAATTGAGTTGAACGTTCCATACATGTGCCTAAATAGCGGGTATCGGGTCACAATAGGCTTATCATCGCGGTTGACCTGATCATTACAGATGGTGATGTTACTACAAAAGCCTTAAAACAGGCTAAGAAGAACGCCGCTCGATGAAGGAGAAGATCTCGACGACGAGCACAACTCTAAGAAAACCTATCTCTCAATCAATGTGAGCCTTGCGTTTGTGAGCCAAAACATGATCCTGAGCTCTGCGTTTCTGTTTCAGAACAAAGAGCCTCACGTTCATGAGCCCAAACGAGAATCTTGTGTGAACCAAGTTGAACGTAGCCCTCAGTGGCACGTTATGTAACCAAAATGCAGCACTCAGAGGCACGTTTTACAATCAGAACGCGGTCCTCAGGGGGGCGTTATTCAAGCAGAACGCAACCCTCAGGTCTGTGTTTTACCTTCAGAACGCAGCCCTCAGGCCTACGTTTTACCTTCAGAACGCAGCCCTCAGGCCTGCGTTTTACCACCAGAACGCAGCCCCCAAGACTGCGTTGACCAGCCAGAATGCAGCCCGCAGAGGCGCGTTTCACCAGCAAAACGTAGACCTCAGTCTTGCGTTCTTCAATCTAAACACGACCATCATGTTCCTTCTTCAGGACACAATGTGATTCATCATG